TCCTAGAGTTCTCAAGTTCCCCCCCCCGAACCCATTATTTTTGTATTTGTACTTTTACAGATTTTAAAGTACATCAGTTATTAAACTCAGCAGGTAAAGCGTTTAATTTATTATAATCCACTTTTTGTTGCAAAGTTAATATATTTCTGAAAATATTATAATGTTGTGTAACATAAAAATTTGTGAATATAGGAATGACCCTTGCTAAACAATAATAAAGGTTAGAGGCTGCGCTGCCGAGTGTTGCAGGCCGGTCACATTATTACAATTTCCCTTAGCAGTTCTTGACACGGGACAAAGGTGCTTCAAGATTAGTCCGTTCTCAGACCTCGTCGTAGTACCATCATGGCAAACAAACCCGATATCTACGCTGGAATTGATTTCGATGAACTCAACGAAGTCACCGGGCTTGAGTCCGATGAGATCAAGTGCCTGAAAACCTGCTTTGATCTTTTTGATGCCAAGAAGCAGGAATTTCTCTCTGCTGATGATTTGGACGAGATTCTTCGTGCAATGGGGTTCAGACCAAGCAAGGAGGAACTTATGGAGATTCTAGCTGAGATTGATGAAGACGGTTCCGGAGAGATAGAGTTTGGTGAATTCTGCCAGCTCTGCGCCAAGTTTCTTGTTGAAGATCCTGATATTGAAACTATGAAGAGAGAACTGAAGGACGCTTTCAGGATCTACGACAAGGCTGGGGAGGGATTCATCACCATGGATACTCTTAGGGGACTCATTTCAGAACTCCTCGCTCCCCTCACTGATGACGAACTGGACGGTATTATTGAAGAGCTTGATGAAGACGGATCTGGAACTATGGACTTTGATGAGTTCTGCGAGATGATGATGAGCGCACCACAGAACTAGATCATCATCATCATCATCTTCATCATCATCATCGTTGTTTGATGATGACACATCTGTGTAACGCTGTGAGTGATCAACTTGGTTTGTTATCGAATATTCATCCTTCTATTGCATAATGTATTTTTTTATTAATAAATTATTATAGTTCTTGTTAAGTTACCCCTCACATTACGTGTTTTCTTTCGTCAATTAATTTAATGGGACTGCCGATATAAACTCAATGACACTCTATTTCAAGAGTTACAAGTTTAATTTCGTTATAACACAACTTCTTTTACACTTTATCTCAGTAACAATGATGAATGGATATCGCCAGTTTTCTAGTTTGAAAAGAAATACAATTCTTTCAAATTCCTTCATTGTCTGCGACAATCTACATGGAACTTGAAATTGGGAATTATTGTTTTTACTAGGATTGGTTGTGAAAACTGAATGTACTTTTTAATTGAAGGGTCTCTCGAATAATAAAAATGGTCAATTCTCCATTAGCTGAAAAACATATTAAAATTTTAAATTGAAGTATTGGGAAGAATTAAACGACCATAAGTTTGTTCAAATCAAAATCTGTTTTTCTAACCTTTTATCTTTACAACCCAATGTCGTATAGACCTTTGATATTTCAAACTATGAATTATATTAGATCAAATAGCATAAGTTTGAAATATCAAAGGTTTACAGCATCAGGTTAAAAAGATCTAGGGATTCCAAAGTTTGAGTTTGTGGCAACAGCTCAGTTCCTTTAATGAATCAGGTATTTAAACGGCTTTTTGCTTGTTAAATAGGAGTAAAGTAAAGGTTACTTACGCCATACAGTCTTTTATCCGTTAAGGTAAGAAACGTTGATAAACTTAAGTAAAAAAACAAGGATTAGGTAAAAAAATATTTGTTAATTGCGTATTTTAACTATTTTCTTGTTTCACTCTTAACCTATAGAGTATTAAGTAAATAGCATGAATTGGATTCTTTCTATACTTGGAAAACTGGAAATTAGGAGACGACTTTAAAATCGTATAGTTTGCCTTCTTTAATAATTGACGGTATTATTATAAGCATTTGAACTATTTTGCTGTTAAGCTGTTAAATAGATTGAATTCTGGACACATTCCTTTATATCTTCGTCATTAATTTTGAGATAAAAAATTGATAAAACACATTTTGGAATTCCCATTATCATTAGTTTTGTCACGTGTATACGAAATAAGATCTGTATCTTTTGGAATTCAGGGATACGCCTACTTTGTATAAAAACAAGATATTGCAAAATGTTATATATCCCAACATTTGTGAAAGGTTATTTTGGCTCTTGAGTGTTTTTATAAAACTCATTTGAAATTCAAATAAGTTTATTTTGGTTTCTAATCACCTGAGCTCAGCTCACAAAATGAATACAGAAATTGAGCAGTTTTAGATCTAGGTGAACTGGTTCACAGTTGTCTCCCTGGTTGACATCATGAAAGAAAAAAAATGTTTTCAAAACTGATACATAAAACGAATCAAAACGTTCAGAAAACAAATGTGGTAAAACGATCGTTTTTCCATTTTTTTGGGGGTTAAAAAAATATTGCAACTAGAGATGTTAACGTTTTAATTTTTTTTTGAAAAACGATCGTTTCGTTATGAGAATGACTACGAAAAATCGAAAACGATTTTAAAAACTATCGTTTTTTTAAAGAAAAAGTTCGTTTTTTTAAAAATGGTCGTTTTTAAAAAGATCGTCTTGAAAAACGATCGTTTTTATAAACGAGCGTTTTTCGAAATGATCGTTTTTTATAAAATTCGTCGTTTCGTTAACGACGAGCCTTCGTTAAAAATAATTAACGACGACCCTTCGTTAACGAAGAGAGGAAACGAAACAAAAAACAATCGTTTAACGATTGTTTTCAAAAACGATTAACTACCCTAATTGCAACGTTTAAAAGGCAAACTTTACCAGAAAACAAATTTAAAGTGTTTTGTTTTTAAAAAATTCAAACTTTTTAAAAAGTATTTATAAATTTCCACCGGGCACAGCTTTAGTTAAAGGGACAGTAAAGGAAAAATGAAAGGGGGTATAGTCTGAAAGCTAATCACTTTAGCTCTTAATCGCGAACCATGAAAGTCATATCTGATGTTCATGTCTCGAGAAATTGATATACAACTGTGTCAAATATATACGAAAATTAATATATATACAATTTTGTATAAAAGTAGTAGGTTTTAACAGATCATATTCAGCAAATAAACAACCAATCTGAAAACAATGATATCCCAGAGAAAGCTAATTGTAAATTAGGTTTACTTTTATATTTGTTATTTCTATTTTCAATAGATTTCATTCATAATATTATTTTTACGTCCGTATTACTTGACCAGAAATTCCACCAATGGCAGTGCAGTAAAGTGGTCACGTGATACAGGCGGAGACACGTGACCAGTATACTGCTCTGCCATTGGTGATAGTTCTGGTCACGTGATTTAAGTTTCAGATTTTCAAAATTTTACATATATGAATTTTCGTATAATTTTAACACAGTTTTTTATCAGTTTCTCGAGACAGGAACATCAGATATAACTTTCATGGGTCGCGATCAAGAGCTAAAGGGATTAGCTTTCAGCCTATACCCCCTTTCATTTTCCCTTTACTGTCCCTTTAAACCCCAAATTTATGAAATTTTTTTTACCATTTTACGTATATCTCAGTATTTGCGAAAATAAATAAATAGCCATGAATATGCGGAACAGTTTTAGACCTCCATATAATCATTTAATTAAAAAACTAAATATCTGCAAAATTCCATTATCAGAAAGTGAAGAATAGGCCATTTTATGAATTCTTTTGATGTATTTTATATCTAGGGTTTGACTGTAGTATTGTATAACTCCTGATATTTATGGTTTTACAAAAAGTTTAAGCCCCCTTCCAAAATCCAGGAAAAAATGTTCTCATACATCTTTTGTCTCTGCATTATACAGGGTGTCCCACGAAACATGACAGTTGGTAATTAGTCTTGAATGTCGTCTTCCATACACTGTATCAGATATAAAGGCAGTTTGCAGTTTATTTCGTTTAAAAAATCTTTTGCTCAAATTCATTCTATGTTAATTTTACTATAATATGACTCCTACATAATATTTTTATTACTGTTTTTGAAATCAAACAACTTAACAAATTATGGAAGAAGACTTTCTAAACTATTTACCAACTGTCATGTTTCGTGGGACACCTTGTACAATACGAAGATTCTACTGCCGTAGAATTTCTTTCTCAATTTTAGGTAATAAGAAAAAAAATAGTTCCTAGCTTTTCGTTCTTTGACATTTTCCGAAATAAAAAGTAAAGATTTAGGAATTTAGTCTTTGCCACAAATTCTGATTTGCTAGTCCCTGTATCTTTGAAACCAGATATTGCAGACCTTAAATTGAATTATTCAGTCTGAAATGTCTTAAGCTTACACCACCAGGTTGCAAAGTTATAGGGAATAGAAAATTTGACTTTGTGGCAAGGACTCGATTCCTTCGTTTCGACATGGCTACTTCTAACAAACAGACAATTAAGCTAGGTTATAGTTATAGAACTATAGACCAAGACAACACAATTTTTAAGTTCAATATAAAATTTTAACAAAAATTAAACAATATACAACGGTAATAACTTGACTTTTTTCAAATTCAGAAGAAAAATAAAAGACGTTTATTCAAATAGACATGTAGCGAACAAACCCCCTAATTTACGGACACACAGACAAGCAAAGCTTTACTGAAGCGAGAAGACAGTGAAAGCTTTAGTTTTACATAATTATGCCTAAGGACAGGTAAGGAGGAGGAGGGGAGGGAGAAGGACAATAGACACTTATTGATTTAGTGTTATAATTAAAGGGAGTGTTCAAAAATTATGAACGGCGTCCAGCCAAGGTTGTATACTAAGGTTGGCTACTCTCCATGTGGTCCAACGTAAGGAAAATGTCGTCTCCAATAACAGATAGATAGATGAAACCTAATATGACGACACTGATTAAAGAGGCGAAAGTGACGTCATACAAGGTTTCTATCTAAATCTTAAAGGACATTTTCCATACATTGAAGCACATCGAGCATAACTAACCTAAATATACATTCTTGGGTCAGGCTATATCTTTAAAAATAAATGGGACTCGACAGCTTCCAATTATACTTTTATTTCTGTTGCGTCTATGAGGATTAAAGGAATGCCCAATACCCAAGTGCATGGTGCTAATTGAGTAAACCTAGTAGCGTGAGTCTTGAAAATACTTTCAATGTTCAAAATTCGTTTATCGTCTTCGGAGTTCTTAGTTGAACTGTAGAAAATATGTAAACTGTTAATATTAATACATTTATTTATTTTCGAAAGAATTTTGTAGTTTTTTATTCTTTAAAATTATTTGGTCAACTTAAATCTAAAAAAATAAATACAGTACAGTACACAATTTTAATTTAGTCTTCCATCACAATGTGAAATGCTAAGATGAATATATTACATTGTACGTAATTGTGGAAGTATTTGTACACTTGAGATTTCTAAACTAAATATTTTTTGATAATGAGCAGGTTTTAAATTGAAAGTTCGTCAATAATGGTTAAAAAAATACTAATTTCGTTTCGGATTCAAGACAATATTTGTGGATTTTCATTTAGGAGTTTCGTGGGTTTCAGGTTCTTGAGAATCAGCTGATTCTTCGCTGGTATCAGCTGATTCTTTGCTGCTGGTATCAGCTGATTATTCGCTGGTATCAGCTGTTTATTCGCTGTCGGAATCGTCTCCTAAGCCTGCATAGCTGATAGGTTTCTTTGCCCGGCCTAAAGTAAAATGTGTAAAATGTGTAAAATGTGTAAAATGTGTAAAATGTGTAAAATGTGTAAAATTTGTAATATTTGTAATATTTGTAATATTTGTTGGCGTTTTCGATGGTTTTGAAAATATTCTTCTAGGACTGGACAAATTAGAACATATCAGCTTTAGAGTAGAAAACAGTTAGTTAACAATAATTGCCAAGATCCGACCCATTTATACCCTGTCCAGGAATTTCAAATTTATTTACATTCTTGTTTTTATTGCAGAAGAACTTGTTCCTGAGTTATATTATCAAATGATAATGCGCATTGATCTGAATCTTATTTTTATTATTTTCAATTTTTATTGGCCGTTATTAGAATTAAACACATATTTTTATTATATTGGTTACCCTCTTTCAGATAGCTTTATATATTTAGCAACAAACAGCAAAAAAATTAAGATTTATATTTCCCTAAAAAATCTTTCTCCTTTTAGAAAATCTTTATATTTATGCTTGCGATTTTTTTCGCAGGATTATGGATTAGGAAAAATAATTTATATTACGGGGAAAATTTATGATTTTTGGGTAAAAAGTTTTAAGAAGAGTGAAAAAAACTTGTCCCATACTCCCAAATCATCAAAATAAATAATACCCCAAACCGAAATTCTGAATAATATGCGCCTTTGGTTTCTAAAAAGCCATACAAATACGAATATAACCATATTGATCTTACGCTCTGAAAGAGATTTAAACAAAAAACATTCAATAATGGTTAGTAAAAGCGAAATTATTGAAACGGACTTTTTTCTTACACTTTTTACGCGGAATCGAATCAAGGTTTACTAGTATCAACTTTACAACATGTCTAATATAGCTTCGGAGGGAGCGGAAAAGAAACGAAAGATAACGAATTGGGTTGTTGAAAGAAATGAAAAACAACCGTTTTTTAAACCAAAAATTAACGCGACGATTTAAAATCGTGAACAACTATGGGTTTTGAACAATCAAATTTTCCATAAATTTTGAAAAGGCCGTTGTATTTTTTACTGAACGAACGATATCTTCAAACAAACTTTTGAAAGAAAACTTTAGTTTTTTGATTCTGAACAGACGATTTTATTGAGAAAATTTTTTTTATTAAACGAACAATTTTACTGAAAGATTGATCAGTGGGAAACTAACAAAAAAGACTAAAAATGAACAATAACTTTGAGAACGAAAACATAATTTTTTTGAACAGTTAATAAACTAACAAAAATGTCGCTCACGAACGATGATCAAACGAAATGAAAAAAGCCGAACAAGTCCATCTCAATACTTGAAAAGTGTACCTGGTCGATCTCTGGCAGGCCCTATATCAGAAGTATCAAGATCAAAATCTGATTCACTCTCATCACTGCCTTTCTTCTTACCCTTTCCTTTCTTTCCTTTCGGTCTAGAAAAAAAGGCGTGAAAAAGAGGCAGTAGTTTTTCATCGAAATTGACTTGGCTGTCTTGCACTAGTCAAAAAATAATCCAACACAAATAGGTTGAAACATAAATTACATAGAGCGTTAATTAATTTTTAAAAATTATTTTTTGTTAATGATATTGGTATATAAGAGTAATTTCAAGTGACCCTCCACGCAAAGATGGCAATGCCCGATTAGCAACGGTACTATTAAAGGTTTGACTGAACAAGTATGAATGAAATATTCATGTTTTTAATTTGTTTATTTTCAATTTCTCTGCAAAAGTGACTTGGACATTACTTGCGTAAGAGAAAAATGAAGATTTACTCAAAGAACTCATAGTAAAATAAAACCGGTATTTTTCACATTTTTGATGAGATTAAGGTTTGAAGGGTACCTTTGTACATCAGACATTGTTGAGTTTACATGAAATGTCACTAAAATTTTTTTTAGCCCCTATGACTGTATCAAAGAAACTAAAGGAACAATCTTAAAAATAATTGTAGCATATAAATATAATTAATTTAAGCATTTAAATCAAGATCATAAATCTCAAACTTTTATGAGCAACCAAACTATTTACAGATTTTGACAAAGAAAATGAGAAAAAACCTTTCAGATATAAACTGTTATCAAGAACTAAATCGGGGGAAATAATTAGTTATTACTATTTAGAAACTATCTTACTTTTCATCATCTGAGTCGGACATAATTGGTTTCTTCTTAGGCTTAGGGGCTGCTTTCGGCTTGGCCGCCGATTTTTTCTTCGGTTTCGGCGCATCATCCTCACTGTCGGACTTAGAAGGTTTAGACTTTTTGGCGGGAGCCTTCTTTTTCTTCGGCGCTACGTCACTTCCGTCGCTGTCAAGGTCGGAATCGTCGACGATTCGTCGTTTCGGTGCCGGTTTCGACTTAGAATCCGGCTTCTTCTTCTCATCATCCCCAAGCATTGAGTCCCAAAGGGCATCGGTGGAAGTTAATTTCTTTGAAGGATTTTTAGTGGCAGCTGCTTTCGCTTTGACCCTGGATGCGAAGTCTCCTAGCAAAAAAAAATTAAGAAAAAATTTATTATTGAAGAATAGTTTGAGCATTTTCTAAATTTCTCAAGTTATATGTGCTCAATACATAAATTTTTGAGTAAAAGTATATAAAAATGGAAACAAAGTTATCTTTTGATGTCACAATTCGTCCCCCCCCCCCCCCTGTAAAAATTAAGGAAAAGTTCTTTCATTTCCTGTTTTTTACCTTTGTCGGAATCTGAATCATCAAAGATGTCGTCTTTGTGTCCGTTCTTCCCGTTGGTCTTCAGGGGTCTTTCATCCCCGCTTTCAGAATCAACTTTCTTCTAAAAAAATACAATATTTATATTATATATATTTAATAATAATGAATATCATCCAAATGTTGTAAAACATGTGAATAATTCAACTAATTTTTCTCCATTTTTCGATGCGTAATTGCAGTTGGCGCACTTCGTTTTCTGCGTCATTAAATATGGTACCTAACACGTAAACCCTCCCCCCCCCTTACGGTCTCTTTGGAATTCTGGATTTATCCTTTTTCGTGGAATTATTAGATGACCGCAATGTTTAGTATAAATACAGGGATAGTGGGTGCACACAACCAATTCAGATCTAACAATCAAGCTTGCATCATAAACATGAAGACTCTTCTTGTAATTCTGGGAATGTTGGTAAGTCTCTTTATGTAGCTTTAAAATTTTACTTGAGTACTAAAGAAGACATTTTTCTAATAGAAAAGGTGTAAAAAATTCGCAGATTTTTCTATTCTTGATTGTGGATTTCCAATAATATTTTTAATATCATTCTGAAACCATTTTTTTCTGACCGGCGATAAACCTTTCCTACGGTCAGATTGAGTTGCCATAAAAAACCTCATCGTTTAGCTTGTTTTGACGTTTATTGGATACAAACGCACAAAAGAAACAATAAAAATAAGATCCAATAAAACAATATTTTATTTGTGTCGTAGTTAAAATCTTTTTAAAAAATGAATTTTTTATTTTTGTTTTAATTTTTTGAATTTTTTAGGTCATTCTAGGTTTAGCTGTAGCGATCCCAACACCCGAGGCTGACCCTCACTTTTTCGGAAATCACGGAGGATGGGGACATCATCATGGAGGGTGGGGACATCATGGAGGGTGGGGACATCATGGAGGATGGGGACATCACCACCATCATCACCATTATGGAGGATATCCATATGGAGGCGGTTACTATGGATAAAAACTCAGGAGGAACTGAGACTGGGAGAAATGTGGAAAAATAAATTTATTCAAACAAATATTTTTCTAAAAATGTGGAAAAATAAATTTTTATCAAACAAATATATTTCTAAAAATAAATTTTTATATTAAACACTTTCATGTATTTTGTGTCGGAACTAACTCCGTTGCTTGTTATTTCAAGATATTGCTCTTTATCGTGCTTTAATATTTTTTGCATGAAGATGAAAAAAATTGGTTGTAAAAATTATTTCAAGAAAATTATTTAACTGAAACTTAATAAGAAACCGGTAAAAACACATTAAACACTGAACTGCAAGCCTGGCTTTTTCAACAATTTTAAAAAGCAGTTTTATAATTCCAAACAATTTGAACATTCCTTATTCATTCGTTAAATTCGGTCCTTGGTAGAGATAGGCATTGTTTTTTGAACGAACGTCAATTTTCGTGAAAAAGGGGTTCGTTCAGAAAAAAACGAACGTTTGACGAACAAAATTGATTGTTTGAGAAATAAAAAAAATAACGAGGAAAAAACGAGCAATTTGAAATCGATCAAACAACAAATAAACTATAGTTTTCTTCTGAACGAACGAATTTTCCAAAAGCCTTGAAAAAACTCAAGTTTTTTACTGAAAGAAAGCTTTTTTGGAATGAACTTCTTAAAAAAAAACGATGAATGATTTTTTCGAACAAATTTTGATGAATGAATGATCGTTCAGTGAGAAATAGATTGAAAATGAACAACAATTTTGTGATCAAACGATCGTTTTCTTTAAAAGATTGAAAAAACAAAAAAGGAAATGGGTCGTTAAAGAACGATGAACGAATGAGATGAAAGAAGTCAATTCATCTCTAGTCCCTGGGCCGGGGTCATTTAGATACTTTCACAAAATTTGGCATCATCGAATCTTTTTTTTACGTTTATTGGAAACAAATAAGCAGGCTTGGTCTGATATCTAACAAAAAAAGTAAAAATGCACAATGCACAAGGACCAATATTAAGTCCTTGGATAAAATGTCTTTAATATTTGGATTAATGTGTGAATTAAGAGAATCTTCAGGGACATATTGTCTCAAAGCTGGCTTCAACGAGGAAAATGGCCGTAGTTCGTTAATTTTGGGGAATAAGATATTTCTGTGTAGTCTTGGAACTGACATAATGCAGATTGAGGAAATCTAATTATCAGGAAAAATGACGGCGGCGTGCTTCTAACGAATATGGTTTTCTGATTTTATTTAAGGTTTATTTAGGATACTGGATACTGGATACTGGATACTGGATATTGGATACAGGATACAGGATACAGGATACAGGATACTGGATACGGGATACTGGATACAGGATACTGGGTACATGATACTGGGTACATGATACTGGGTCATGAAACTGGGTACATGAAACTGGGTACATGAATTTGGGTACATGAATTTGGGTACATGAAACTGGGTACATGATACAGGATACTGGATACAGGA